AGAAAGAGAAGAAAGAGAAGAAAGAAAAGAAAGGAAAGAAAGGAAAGAAAGGAAAGAAAGAAAGAAAGAAAGAAAAGAAAGAGAGAGAGAAAGAAAGAAAGAAAGAAAAGAAAAGAAAAGAAAAGAAAAGAAAAGAAAAGAAAAGAAAAGAAAAGAAAAGAGAAAAGAAAAGAAAAGAAAGAAAGAAAGAAAGAAAAGAAATGTTGCCAGGCACAGTGGCTCACACCTGTGATCCCAGCACTTTGGGAGGCTGAGGAGGGCAGATCACAAGGTTAGGAGTTTGAGATCAGCCTGGTCAACAAGGCGAAACTTCGTCTCTACTAAAAATACAAAAATTAGGCTGGGTGTGGTGGCTCACACCTGTAATCTCAGTATTTTGGGAGGCTGAGGTGAGTGGATCACGAGGTCAGGAGTTCAAGACCAGCCTGACCAACATGGTGAAACCCCATCTCTACTAAAAACTACAAAAATTACCTGGGTGTGGTGGCATGTGCCCATAATCCCAGCTACTCAGGAGGCTGAGGCAGGAGAATCGCTTGAATTTGGGAAGTGGAGGTTGCAGTGAGCCAAGAATGCACCACTGCACTACTCCAGCCTAAGTGACAGAGTGAGAATCTGTCAAAAAAACAAAAAACAAAAAACAAGCAATGTCTAAGAAACTGTCATGGCACCAATAAGAAAACATGACAACTAAAAAATATTATTGTGAGAAAAAATATATAATTGGTCAAGTCAAGATGGGGCTGAGTATCATGGTACATGCCTGCAGTCCCAACTACTCAGGAGGCTGAGGTGGGAGGGTAACTTGAGACTAGGAGTTCAAGTCCAGCCTGGGTAACATAGCAAGACCCTGTCTCTATTGAAAATAGTAGTCAAGATGGAAACTCATATTTAGTGATTTAGTTTGACCAGAGAATATAATTACAGAGGTCCTGACTTCATGACTCCCTGTTATTCACAGCCTCCAGCCTACACACAGCCATGCAGCCATCTCCATCCTGGAATTCTCTAGCTCAAAACCCAATATGCTCCTAAATGTCTCAAATCTAACTCCTCTGCCTGGCAGTCAGGCAGAAAAAAGGAACAGTGTCATCAAGTTCTCGCTCCAGCTCATTTATTCACTTTGTAACCTTGGGAAAGTTCCCCTAACTTCCTTTTTCTTATTTGTAAAATAAGATGGTTTAACTATATGCTCTTTAATGTCCATTTTAGCTATAAATTCCAGTTGGTCAAGCAACTGTATAGCTCACAGTGGCTCAGCTTTTCTACCAGTCAAACAACCCTCCAAGCTCCTTCCCACAGCCTACAAGGTGCTATATGGACTCTACCTCCCTTTTTGGCTCATCTTACTCCCTTATCCTACACATCTCTCTATCTCACTCTCTCTTCTCAGGCTAGAATAGCCTCCTGTTAGTTCCTCCAAAATGCCAGGCTCCCTCCTGCTAAAGAGCCTTCCCATACACTGCACCCCTACATCCCAGCAGCCTTTCACCTTCAGCCACGTTGGACCCAATGCTTCCTTTTCAAAAATAATAAATATTTCATAACATCCTCTTTACCATTTGAAACAAAATGCATACATAATACAAACTAAACATAATTTTAGATACATAAATGTATATGTTATATAGAGTCTTAACTGTAACATAAAGAAGAAATAAAAGAAATATTACTTAGTACAAAATTATATATACACTAATGGTAAATGCTCTTGTATGACTACATTAGAAGTCATAAGAAGGTAGTCGAAGCTTGAACCTAAACTTAAAAATACTGAATATGACAGTTAGAAAGACAGACTGAGGCCAGGCACGATGGCTCACGTCTGTAGTCCTAACACTTTGGGAGGACGAAGCGGGTGGATCACCTGAGGTCAGGAGTTCGAGACCAGCCTGACCAACATGAAGAAACCCCATCTCTACTAAAAATACAGAATTAGCCAGGTGTAGTGGCACATGCCTGTAATCCCACCTACTTGGGAGGCTGAGGCAGGAGAATCGCTTGAACCCAGGAGGCAGAGGTTGCAGTGAGCCAAGATCGCACCATTGCACTCCAGCCTGGGTGAAAGAGAGAGAGTCTAATCAAAAAAAAAAAGGCAGATTGATGGGCACATATTATCTTGGTGATTAAATATCACTACTAACATATGCCAATGGTAATTATGAATTTTAAAAAGATAACTCTTGGTAAAGCTCTGAACAAACCAAAACATAATATCCTCCAAAGAAGGTGCATTCTGGGAAAACTGAGTACTAAAGCCATACCATTTTTTGCCAGGTACAGTGGCTCACACCTGTAATCCTAGCACTTTGGGAGGCTGACGTAGGTGGATCACAAGGTCAGGAGTTCAAGACCTGCCTGGCCAAGACGGTGAAACCCCCTCTCTACTAAAAATACAAAAATTGGCCAGGCGTGGTGGCATGCGCCTGTAGTCCCCGCTGCTTGGGAGGCTGAGGCAGAGAACTGCTTGAACCCAGGAGGCAGAGGCTGCATCGAGTGGAGGTTGCATCGAGCAGAGGTCACACCACTGCACTCCAGCCTGGGCAAAAGAGCAAGCCTCCATCTCAAAAAAAAAAAAAA